GGCAGATAACGATTGTACTGTGAGACATCCCCGCGCGTTCCCACGGTCACCGGCTCCAGCCGGGTCGCGTCGTCCCGTATATGCTGCTCCGCCACGGCCCGGCCTTGCTCCGTATTCGGATCGAAGCGTACTACTTTCATCTCCACGCCACCGGGCCGCAAGGTGGCTTGCTCGAACTTGGTCGAGTTGCTACCACGATTGATAGCGGGAGTCAGACTCGTCACCTTCTTCTGCGCTGTCTTAAACGACGGCCTCTTGACGACCGTCGGCACGGGCTCGCTGCCGGCGGCGATCGCCGCACCGCCTCCGGCGCCGTAGAAATTCGACAGAGCTTCCGGCGGCAGTTTCTCGATCGGAATATCACCGATCTTGTCATAGTCGAGGATCTGGATGTCGGCGTTGCCTAAAATACCGGAGCTCAACAGCTGCTCCCTAATGTCGTCTGGCACCTCGTCCGGTAGATTCGCAATGTTCTCTTTGATCTTGGCGGCCTTATTCGGCGAGAGCGTCGTCGTGGTCGATGCTTCGGTAGTCGTGGTGGTGGTGGTTGTGGTTGTAGTCGTACTTGTAGTTGTCGGTAAGAACGTTTTAGCGGTCGGCGGTGAGTTGAACTCTTCGGAGGGACTAACCGGTGTCGCGTAGATCTTCTGCGAGGGATTATTCTGGAACAATGGTCGGCCCCATATCGATTGTTGCTGAGTGAAAGTGGTCGTTGCGGTCGTTTGTGGCCGTTGTTGCGATGTCGGAAGCGTCTGCGAGAAGAAGCTTTGCTGACTGCTCTGATGAGATTGCTTCGTGTTTAAGTGCTGGTTTAATTGTTGCGTGTTTAACTGTTGCTGCAGACCGTCACCGGAGATAAAATGATTTGTTAAAATCCCAGGCAGTTGCTGAGAATCGCGAAGGGCACTGAACGATTGCGGCGATACGAACTGATTTTGGGAAAGTTCGGGAAACGCCGTTGATTGAATTATCGTAGGATTTGGTGGGAACGGACCGGGATGAAGAGGATTTTCTTGGAACGCGTAATGCTGTTCTAGCTTAGGCACGGCCTTGAAGATTTCACCTCCTGGTCGTTGGGATGGTAATTGTGGCTGTAATTGTGACTGTAATTGTGACTGCAATTGTGGTTGCAATTGTGGCTGTAATTGCGACTGCAATTGCGGTTGCTGCACCTGATTATACTTAAGCTGTGTACGATATCGTTGTTGTTCCTGAAGGAACTTGAGCTCCTGCTCCTGTTTCCGCCTGCGTTGCTCCTGCAAGCGCTGTAATTCTTGCAATTGTTGCTGCTCCTGTTGCCGATGTTGTTCTTGCAAGCGTTGCTGTTCCTGCAATCGTTGTTGTTCTTGAAGTCTCTGATGCTCTTGCTGCCTCTGCTGTTCCTGTTGTCTCTGCTGCTCCAGCAATCTCTGTTGCTCGACCTGTCTCTGCTGCTCCAAGAATCGCTGATGTTCTTGATGTCGCTGCTGTTCGTGCTGTCGTTGATGTTCCCGTTGCTTCAATAACTCTTGCTGTCGTCGTTGCTCATGGTAACGTTGTTTCTCCAATTCCTGCTGTTTAAATGGAGGTTGTGGTAAAAGCTCCACGTTGAAACCATTCTGTCTGGATAACGGTTGCTGCTCCGAATTAAAGCCACCAGATCTGACCGGTAATGGTTGCTGGGGCGGTTCCGCGAAGTTATTTGGTGGCAACGACAATGGTCGATTCTGTACTTGAACGCTTTGATGCGATACCGACAGCGCAGGTGGGAATCCCGGTTGCTGCGGGTGATTGATATTGACGTGATGCGGTGGTGGACCAAAACTGTTGAACGTCGCGCGTTGTTGCACTTCCGGGAGACCCTGAATAGTTATGGGATGACGTTGCAGTGGTCTCGATGATGGTGGCGATGGCGGTGGTGGATTTCTCAAGGATTGCTGAGGTGGAAACGTTTGATGCTGCAGCAGTGATTGCTGCTGCTGCTGTTGTTGCAAGAATGTCGTTATTTGCGGTTGCGGCGGGAATGAATTGATAATACGCTGTTGCGGAAATGCGGGCACTCGCGGGGGCTGCAGGGGTTGATAAGGACCATGCTGTCTTTTCGGCGCTCCCGGCGACGTTGTTGGCTTGCTGGCGTGCTGTTGAATACTGCCTGCAGGCGTCTCTAAGTCGCTACGCTTGTTATGATTGTTGGGTGGCACTTGCTCGGTACCGAAAGTCACGCGGATACCGCTACTACCGGAATGGTACACTTCGCTATCGGGTCGAATGATAGCGCGTAAGGTCGTCGATGGTTCCGGAGGCGGTGCCGGTGTCACCGTATTCGTTGGCTCTTCCCCATACGGTGCCGGGTTGTCCGGCTTAATTTCCTCGTGCTCCTCCACAGGTGTCAGCGCGGGGATCGGTGGATCGTAAACGACGCGAGTCTTATCTCCATAACCCTTTTTCTTCTCGTATTTTACGTAGAAGACCTGGATGGGTTCCTTGGTAGGTCGCGGTTGAGAAGAAAGTGGTAGCGGCGCCGGAGTTGGAAGAGTCTCATTCGATTCTTTGATGATGATCTCGATAATCGGCTCGGGTTCCGTTTGATAATAGCTCGATGGAGTCTCTCCATATAAATCGTCGTTCTTCGAACTCGCCAAAGGATTGTATAAAGGATCTCTCTGAGAATATTGCACTATTGGTTCCATTTGCACCGCATACGGCGGCAGACGACCCACCTTTCGTAGAAAGGCGAGCTGTTGACGTTTGTCTCGGTTCTTCGACGACGAGCTTTCCTCTTTAGCGAGGGTCGCGACGACGAGGAGCGTCGCCGTGAAGAGTCTCTGAAAGGAAAAAGAAATCAGCGCGACAGAACGTATTTTTATATTGCGGTATTAATTATATTGTTAGTCTGATAAAATCAATCTACATTATTGACTTAAAAATTTGTGGTATAAATGTAATTTTATACTTCAGGTTCTAATAAAGTTTCTTTTTTAATAAATGATTTATTTTTCTAGAAAGCAGCATGTATTGCTTTGTCAGTTAACCGATTGATAGTGCCAGCGTTTCAATCAATTAACACGATACACGATGTAAATTCAAGAAGAAAGACTTTTAACGCGCTCTGATAACCGAGTAACCTGTTTAATAACCAGAAAACTCATTGATGGCCTTAATGGGCTTCGAATCGATTGGTATGCTAGCGAGATCGAGAAACAGTTAGCCTGATAAGCGATTCCCAGTCGTGACTATACTCTCGATATGGCAAGGTCAACTTGCGGATGTTTCTCTTTTCTCTGAAATCGTTCGAATGCCAAACTTCCACTACCAAGATATTGCGAGCTTTCGTATGTTTTACTGACGACCTTTGGTCTTGATTAAATAAATAAATATATATATATATATTTTTTTTTTAAATAATATTTCTGTATTTTAAAAGTATCTATAGTACTTCAAAACTGCTTTAATTATATACAGCAAATCAAGATGAGTTATTCTTATTGGAAGTTTGTCGCTATTCTTTTCTATGATTCTAAAAACACCATTCCATGCAATAGAATATGCTTCAATGTACTCGATTAATTTTTTAAAGTCCATCCACCAAGAAGTGGGTGACGGAAAAAGAGAAGGAGAAAGAGAATCAAAGTTTAAGACCGGCGCGTTTCACCTCGAGAATTCGGTGCCTCTCTCGGTGCTGGTTAGCATATTCGAATGAGGCCCCGAACACCTCTTTTTCGATGAACCGCCCGCCTCGGGCATCGCAAGGCCGCCCGAGAGTAAAACGACGACATATCGCGATTAAACGGCCGTTGATCTCTGCAGGACGATTAACGATCGTATCGTTGCCGGTCGCGTCTGCCACGATTTATTAGAGCACTTTCCCTCGTGCGTGAGAGTCGATACGCTCGCTGATTATAAATGATAGAACTGCAGGGGGGTCTGGGCATCACGCGCGACATGCTTATTATGATGAAAGTACAAGCGTCTCCGTCCAAGTGATCCATCCACCCTCTTCGTGGTTAAGCCCTGTTATAATTACCAGCTTGGCGAACCGCATTGCTGTGATCGTTTCTTGGGCTCTTCCACGTGGGGAGATTCACTGCACACTTCTCACCGGCCGGATTCCTCGCGTTAGAGGCGGCTGACTCGCGACATGACACCGCTCGAGACAATCGGACGTGGCTTGGCTGAACGATACCGAGCGGAACCTCGCATGGGAACTGAGGACAGATCTCGGCCCAGGGGCCCGTTTCTCCCTACCCGGTGCCACCACCATCGGCGGCCACCGCTCTTCATGAAGCTCCTCTCTAATATCGAAGACGGTGGAGCATGAGCACCTTTCTCCGAGGTGCCTCCTCGACACTCGCCTCGTTGGTGTTCGTATCCGTCATACACGTGGACGCATATGTAGATGGAAACGGTAGAGGGGAAAAAAGAAAGAGGAGATGTACGGTGTGGTATGTATCTTCTTCGCATACGCGACGACAACTTTCTTCAAATCCGCCCGACCACGCGATCGACCGTAGAGGGGACTATTATACTAAGCGTCCTCACTTTTCCGCGACCTCCAAGGCCCATCGAAACTGAAACTCACCTTTCCTCCTCGTCTCAACGAGGAGTTATTCGGTGAAAGAACATGAAGGATCTTAATACCAGTAGATCGAAGGGGAGCGGTAGCGGATTACTTTCGCTACGGTACTAAGCTTCACTAAACTACAACTTCCTTGAGACAAGTGATTGTTTCCGATCTGTTCGATAATCCTTGTCTGCGAGAAAGGATACACGGTCGATTCGGATGTCGCTCCAAATCGGTTGATGATAATTTCAGCTGAAACGCTCTTGCTCACGAACGATCATCTTGATGGACGTTCACAATTAAGGCGGCTGCAATTATAATATCATTAGCATTTCTAGACTTTAATGTGAATCTTGCCTCTCTCTCAGAATAATAGTCGCGCCGACTTTCATGAATGTAGACAGCAGTACAGATTGCACCTTGCAAGCAAATTCTACGAAAACGCAAGCTTCGTTGATTTCGCAGAAGAGCAAGAGAACTTTTCTTATTCTTGTTATAGAATATATTCTACAATAGAGCGTGCAATATCACAGGTGTATTGACAAAGATTAATCGCGTTAGCTGTTGCATCCCACGATTAATCTTCTCTTTCTATATGCACTTTAAATATATTTTTATAACTTTTGTATACGAACAGAGTTATAAAAAAGTATATAAGATGTTCGTTTATAAATGCTTCAACCTTTCGTCAGCAATCTGGTTTTTTTTAGCACAAACAAAATCTTTACATACAAAAGAGGGTAGAGTTTGTTTCTCCTTTATTACTAAATTATACATTTTTAAACAAATTTCTATTTTTTCTCTATTTTTATTCAAATTTTAATTTCTATTAAATAAAGATTTTAATATTTGAGAAATTACAAATTAACAAAAAACTAATATAAGTTTTTATAGACTCCTTAAATTAAAACAATTTAGAAGAAACATGTAATATAAAGTACAGGCAATAGGAGTCAACGCTGGTTATCAATTAGCGCAATTCTTCTTAATATTAAAAATATAAACCTTGACTTTGAAAGTTTCCACTCATGCCATGGTTTGAGTCTTCATCAGCAATCTTTCACCTTAGCGCAACGGTTGGAGTATTGCATAACAAAATAATATCTCCAACGTTTTTCCTCTCAAAATTGAACCGTTAACTGTGTGAGGTAAGTCACAAACACCCACAAAGTTAGAAAGCTGAGTGGCAATGAGAACTCAAGCTCACACAATCGACGCTTCTACACTGAACAATAAATCTCTCTTAAGCAACATTTTATAACTCGTTAGTATGTTAAAAATTATCGTCAAATTCTAAAATAATAACTGCGAGAACAATATGTGTCTTGTTATTTCGACAGTCGATAAAATAAATTTAATATTTGAGTTAAAACAGCCAAATTACAGACGAATAAACAATATGTGATATGTTCCGCATGTAAAAATGTGTGCGACAATTATTTCCTTCTTACCTGTTTTGCAAAAAAGATTTTGCATAATGCAAGACACTATCCAGATCCTCTTACGTCTTACGTATGATAGATGATTCTGATCTGATAAATTACATGAAACATTTTTCCAGGCATGATGTCGAAGCTGCAGTGGTATGAAGTAACTCGTTGGCAAGAAATCACACAGGAGATTGTATATAAGTCATGTCCGTCGTTGCGAAAGGTGCAGATTCAGTGGAGCAATTGAACGGGATGACCCGCTAGAGACCTCCCCCAGTTGCAAAAGTACCCTGCAATGTTCCGCAAACATCTCATGTACGTGTTTGCGCAACTCGCTTCGTTCCAGATCGGTCAGATCATCAAAGCTGATGATTTTCTATCGTATTTATTTTCTGACCCTCTTAGAGAGAAGCCAGATCGCTCGAAGTGGGAAAAATCAGGATTTGCCGTTACGCCTGAAACGAATAACGAGCGAATGGTAAAATTTCGAAAGTTACAAAAAAATTTGAAGTAGTAGTTGAATCTTTTCCTTTTCTCGTATTTCTTAATATCGATGTTCATCAATTTTGGCACCAACGAATGTCCAGCATTCGAGTCTCCGGACATCGAGATTCCCGCGTCCTACTTGCAAACTTTCACTTATACGTTGGCGTAAGAGGATCCGAATAGCAGCCGGCAGGCTCGATGATGATAAATATAGGATCCATCTGACCGCCCGAGACGGTCAGTGATCTCCGAGCTAAGACGATATTTCACGCTAAGTTATCATCGTTTCGCTGGGAAACGATATCGTTCTTAGGACATCCTTCTAAGCGTACATAATTTTGCACGCGAAAACAATTTATCACTTTTTCGCGCTACCATGTGGGTGACACGATGGTGTCGTAACCATTTCTAATGTTTACTCGGTCAACTCTGTGTTTTCCGAAGAAGAGCTCTCTCTTTCTCTTTCTTTGCGCATGCTATAGCTATTTTAATTTTGGTCTTTTTTACTTTTATATTTTATTTTCTTTTTACCTTTATTTTTTAAATTGTATTTTATATATTCGCTTTAATTTTTCTTATTCTATTGTCTTACCTATATGTATTGCTTTTTGGTGTTTGAGGGGATCCGATTCTAAAACGCTTAATAAATAATGATCTCTTTCTCTCTCCCTCTCTCTCTTTCTTAACATGACAAATACATTGTCACATAACCATCCAACTTTCCTTTCATTATAAAGTTAATTGCTCAATTTTCGAGGTTAAATAATTTCACACAACTCAATCGTGAAATTTAAATTTCCGTTGAGGAAGTTGTTCAGAAAAAAGCAAGACCGAAAAGCAAGATCTCGCCATTGTCGAGTTTCTCATCCTATATAAAATAAACGTAATTAAAATAATTAACTGTTTCATTTGTTTAAACATCGAGATCACCTATCAATTCACGATATCCTGTCGATGTTAATCGCAGGAAATGTTGTACAACAAATACTAAATGTCTGCTCAGGAAAACTGTTGCGTGTAGAAACGACACTTTCTAATCGGTTTACAAGACGACCACCACAATTACGCTTATCTAATTAAATCAGTTTTTTTTTTCGAGATCAGTTCTAGTAAAAATTTTACGGTGCTTCGTTGTTGCATATTTTATTTCTTACGTGTTACATGTGTGTTTCATATTATGTTACATCGCTATTACATCTTGCTATCGAGTCTATTCACGCGGAGCGTGGAAACTCCCTCGGAACTGAAAAACGATGCCTCTGTCGCACAGTCTTTGCGATTGCGAGACCAATCTTTGTAACTGCGATGGCAAAAGATTGTGAATTTGATTCTCCCAGTTCTCACGGAGGATACGGATCCTCTTACACGAACACTAACGATATACGGTTCTTCGAGAGCAGTCCGCTCATGAGCAATAACGTAACTGTTGAAGAGTGAAAGTGCCCGTAAAGTGGGACGTTGCGGGAATAACGCTCCCTCTTATAATTAATAAACAAAGCCTACAAACGGTTCTCATCGTCTATGAGATTGTGCATTCAACGCGACATTTCTTTAAGACCTTGTCGAGTGTCGTTATCCATACTAGGTTGATGATCGAGACCTTTCTCACGTTCGCTTTTTCCATATACGAATCTCGGGCGATGATTATAAAATAAACCTAACGATGAAATTATGAAAACTTATAGAGTTTTCATAATACTTTAACAGTTTTGTTAAAGTATTTAAAAATTTAGCTAGATAGATCTAAAGATAATTTTGTTTGGACCATCAAAATAATTATGTAGGACGCTTAAATTGGTGGCTAACTATTGACTTTGCTATCAACGTTTATATAATTATTATGTATTTTATATAATTTTGATAGTACAACAAATTTATTTTCAGATCTATCTATATCTATTGCTAAACTTTTTGATACTTCAGCAAAATTTTTCAATTATTTTTATATATATTTCTGCATCCATTTATCCTTCTAGAATATTGGTTAAAAATATTAAAATCGCTTTGTTAAAAATAAAAATACAACGTATTTTTTTTTCACTAAAAATTTTAGAATAGATTTTAGAAAGAGAAAAAATAAAATCAGAAAAATAATATAGAGATTAAGATTAGATTTTAAGTAGATAAAAAGTAATGGCAAGAGATCAAGATTAGATCTTTTAACAATTTTGTGTTGTAATTCGATTATTTGTTTCTGATTTCTTTTTATTTTTTCATTTTATTTTAACTGCACGTATTTGCGATAATCCGATTACCAAATACGCGGATTAAATTATTGGCCTGCAGTGACCTTATAATTCACAAGGCAGAAAATTCTCACTCATGTTTTTCAACGTGAGAAGAATCTTTCATAAGCTACAAAAGTATTACACGCCTTAGGCGTTAATCCGAGTCTTAACTAATTAAAGAATGGAGCCAACCGAAACTGACAAGCGATGTAATGCGCCCGTAAGTTACGCGGTGACTTTTATTCCCAGCGAGATTTATGGAATGATAACCGTTGTGGTTTTTTATAATTGGAATCTAAAATGCCGGCTGCCATCCGTAGAGAAGTTTTAACGCCACTCTCAGGTCATCCGCGGGTATCGACTGTATATCGGCGGAAAACGCATAACTGCATTATATAATTACACATACTGCGGGTCGTATCAGACGAAAAATTGCCGGTAATTGATGTTACACCCGAAGCACTTTCTATTTCAGGTGCAGCGGTTTCTCACTTCGCGCCTATCGCAAC